CACCAAGAGAGACCGCACCAAGAGAGGCCGCACCAAGAGAGACCGCACCAAGAGAGGCCGCACCAAGAGAGGCCGCACCAAGAGAGGCCGCACCAAGAGAGGCCACACCAAGAGAGACCACACCATGAGAGGCCGCACCAAGAGAGGCCGCACCAAGAGAGGCCTCACCAAGAGAGGTCGCACCAAGAGAGGCCGCACCAAGAGAGGCCGCACCAAGAGAGGCCGCACCAAGAGAGACCGCACCAAGAGAGGCCGCACCAAGAGAGACCGCACCAAGAGAGGCCGCACCAAGAGAGGCCGCACCAAGAGAGGCCGCACCAAGAGAGACCACACCATGAGAGGCCGCACCAAGAGAGGCCACCAAGAGAGCAAAGAAGGAAGGCCGCACAAGATGAGGCCACCAAGATGAGGCCGCACCAAGGAGAGGCCACACCAAGAGAGGACCACACCATGAGTAGGCCGCACCAAGAGAGGCCGCACCCATGATGAGGGCACAACCATGAGAGGCCGCACCAAGAGAGGCCGCACCACAGAGAGGCCACACACAAGAGAGACCACACCATGAGAGGCCGCACCAAGAGAGGCCGCACCAAGAGAGGCCACACCAAGAGAGACCACACCATGAGAGGCCGCACCAAGAGAGACCGCAACCAAGAGAGGCCACACCAATGAGAGACCACACCATGAGAGGCCGCACCAAGAGAGGCCGCCCCCAAGAGAGGCCACACCAAGAGAGGCCGCACCATGAGAGGCCGCACCAAGAGAAGCCGCACCAAGAGAGGCCGCACCAAGAGATGGCCGCACCATGAGAGGCCGCACCAAGAGAAGCCGCACCAAGAGAGCCGCACCAAGAGAAGGCCGCACCAAGAGAAGGCCGCACCAGAGAGGACCGCACAAAGAGAGGCCGCACCAAGAGAGACCGCACCAAGAGAGGCCGCACCAAGAGAGGCCGCACCAAGAGAGGCCGCACCCAGAAAGTTGTCACAGACGGACGGCGTACTTCGCTGCCGCGGTCGCAAGTTTAACACATCCACTTTTCTCTCTCTTGGAACAAAGCCCAAGTAATTCTGCACCTGGAGTGTACTCTTGCACACACTCCTACACGCTCTTGCTACAACACGCACACGCACGCACACACACACACACACACGCATATTTCTATCCCTACTTGTGGTGGGCGATGTGCAGTTAGAAGCAAAAAAAGAAATCGTTTAAGGATAAAAGAGGCTCTCAATCTATATTATATAAAACTGCTTACAAAGGAGTTACTCTTACAGAGGTCACTGGGAACATAGCGCACTCCGTACTGTGGTCAGAGTGAATGTACTAGCTTGCACTAATTGGTAGAGTGACGCCCTGCTTCCTGCATGGCCGGCGTGGCAGCCCCAGTTCCAAATGGAAGGGTATAGTTCCTTCTCCCTGTTTATCTATCCTAGCTCCTATCCTGGTCGTATATCCCAGCTCCTATCCTGGTCTCACATCCCACCTCCTATCCTGTCCTCACATTCCACCTCCTATCCTGTCCTCACATCCCAGCTCCTATCCTGTCCTCATATCCCAGCTCCTATCCTGTCCTCATATCCCAGCTCCTATCCTGGTCTCATATCCCAGCTCCTATCCTGTCCTCATATCCCAGCTCCTATCCTGGTCTCGTATCCCAGCTCCTATCCTGGTCTCATATCCCAGCTCCTATCCTGGTCTCATATCCCAGCTCCTATCTGTCCTCATATCCCAGCTCCAATCCTGGTCTCATATCCCAGCTCCTATCCTGGTCTCATATCCCAGCTCCTATCCTCGTCTCATATCCCAGCTCCTATCCTGGTCTCATATCCCAGCTCCTATCCTGGTCTCATATCCCAGCTCCTATCCTGCCCTCATATCCCAGCTGCTATCCTATCCTCATATCCCAGCTCCTATCCTGGTCTCATATCCCAGCTCCTATCCTGGTCTCATATCCCAGTTCCTATCCTGCCCTCATATCCCAGCTGCTATCCTATCCTCATATCCCAGCTGCTATCCTATCCTCATATCCCAGCTCCTATCCTGGCCTCATATCCCAGCTCCTATCCTGCCCTCATATCCCAGCTCCTATCCTGCCCTCATATCCCAGCTCCTATCCTGGTCTCATATCCCAGCTCCTATCCTGCCCTCATATCCCAGCTCCTATCCTGCCCTCATATCCCAGCTGCTATCCTATCCTCATATCCCTTCCATGAGCTATATAGTAATACTGGTTTACTACTTTCTCGTTATAATTTCTACTCAGCACACCTCTCGGGCGCTTGGTAAGACTGATAGTTATCTTACAGATAACTGATAGCTATAAAGATAACAGTAAACAGTGGTTAACCTCCTTACCAGGACGGGGGAACAAGTTGCTACCAACGACACTGTACAAGATTCAGTGGGGTATATACCAGCCTGTAGAGGGTACAATGCTATATATAAAGAAAGTAGAGGATTTGGGGACATATATAAGACACTGCAAGGAGTTCAGGAACATAAAAGAGACACTTTAGAGGGCTGAGGAATATATATATATAAGACTGTAGTACGGTATGTATCAAGCAAACAGGAAGACATTTGGAACTATAATTCATATGTTATTTATCATCAAAAATATATTTTAACATATACTGTATATAGGATCTAAATATATATTTATAAATATTCGAACTTCCACATCTTTCCAGGTCAGGACTTGACCTGCATATATATATATATATTATATATATATATATATATATATATATTATATATATATATATATATATATATATATATATATATATACCATGGTTCTGTGCAGGGGATAACTGAGTCATAAAATAGAAGAATCGCCCAATCAGAGGCGATGGATGAGAAACATTTTTCAGAGCATTAACTCAAGCCACGCAATTTTAAACCACCAAAATATAACCACGAATCTACAATAATCTTCTACATCCTTAACGCTTAATGAATGTGTGGGGTTTTCCTCTTCCATCTTGCCAGAAGAGAATTTAGTATTGATATTTCTTATGTAATTCCCCATACTTATAACACTAACTTGACCCGCATTTACCTAAGACTTTCACTGTGTTATGAATGGGTATGTAGTGTGTAATCTCATATATATATATATATATATATATATATATATATATATATATATATATATATATATTATATATATATATATATATATATGTCGTACCTAGTAGCCAGAACTCACTTCTCAGCCTACTATTCAAGGCCCGATTTGCCTAATAAGCCAAGTTTTCCTGAATTAATATATTTACTATAATTTTTTCTTATGAAATGATAAAGCAACCCTTTTCTCTAAGTATGAGGTCAATTTTTATTTATTGGAGTTAAAATTAAAGTAGATATATGACCGAACCTAACCAACCCTACCTAACCTAACCTAACCTATATTTATAGGTAAGGTTAGGTTAGGTAGCCAAAAAAAGCTAGGTTAGGTTAGGTTAGGTAGGTTAGGTAGACGAAAAAACATTAATTCATGAAAACTTGGCTTATTAGGCAAATCGGGCCTTGAATAGTAGGCTGAGAAGTGCGTTCTGGCTATTAGGTACGACATATATATATATATATATATATATATATATATATATATAATATATATATATATATATATATATATATATATATATATATATATATATATATATATATATATATATATATATACACATTTGGGCACAATCCCATGCTAGAGCAACCATCCGCTCATATAGTACACTGCATTTGGAAGTCATCATTTCCAACGGCCAAATATAAGGGTACTATAGATCAAAGCGACTCACAAATATTCCCGTTTTCTATGCGTGGGTTCATAAGTTAGGTTAGGTGCGATGATAGTTTTAGTACATGACTTTCTGTTCCTTGTAGCAACTGGAGAGGACTGCCTGGACAACTACCCTACCAGCTGGGTAGCCAACTAGCCGGCCAGTTATTCAATCAAATAGCCACCCAGCTAGCTAACTATCCTACCAGCAGCCAACCAGTCAACTAGCTACCTAACTATCCTACCAGCTAGCCAACCATCCTACCAGCTAACCAACCATCCTACCAGTTAGCCAACCATCCTACCAGCTAGCCAACCAACCATTCTACCAGCTAGCCAACCAACCATCCTACCAGCTAGCCAACCAACCATCCTACCAGCTAGCCAACCATCCTACCAGCTAGCCAGCCATCCTACCAGCTACCCAACCACCTTACCAGCTAACCAACCATCCTACCAGCTAACCAACCATCCTACCAGCTAACCAACCACCTTACCAGCTAACCAACCATCTTACCAGCTAACCAACCATCCTACCAGCTACCCAACCACCTTACCAGCTAACCAACCACCTTACCAGCTAACCAACCACCTTACCAGCTAACCAACCATCCTACCAGCTAACCAAACAGGCAGCCAGATAGCCAAGCAGTCAACCAACCACCTAACTATCCTACCAGCCGTTTCATCACATGATAAGCTCACCCACCTCTCCCCCTTCACAGCCGACTTCAAAAGCCTAATAATAATTGAGTGGTGAAGGGTGGAAAATGAGGATTCCAACACGGACCACATATTATCACCCCCTCCCCCCCACCCCCCACGTCAGCCACACATGTATTGGAAATTGGGCCGTGCTTGTTAATTACGGGTTGCAAGCTGCACCAGCGGGATTATGGAACTGGAAATGTAGTGTTATTAGTTAGGCTTGTGGATCTGAAGGCCGCGTTGCTCCGAGCCCTGTTAGTTTTATGATCGCCATTGGTGTAAATATGTAATTTTTTTGGTGGTCTATTGGTTAGTGTATCTGATTTGCTACTGGTGTGATGATGTTGGTTGGTGGTGATGTTTCTAATAATAAAGATGTAGTTAGTTTTATTTACTTGTTTATGCCTCCAAGGTATAGAAAATGGGTATTGTTCCTGACAGAATTTGCTTTGGTGATTAGGAGAGTGATTTTTAGAAATTTATCGACTTTGCCTGAACATTCCAGATGGATCCAGTGGTGAGTGAGCATGGAGTAACTCCATAATGGGGGGACAAGTGCCCGTCTCTCCCCCCCCCCCCCTGGCTCACTGGGCACGCCTCACAAGGGACTACAACACCATCAACACCTTGCTGGACGCCTTCATGTATGAGGAGTGAGGGCGGGAGGTCATCTGAGACTTCACAATGGTGGCATTCCTGACGGGTCTCCAAGGCGGTTTAATACATAGTTTCCTTCTACTGTCTTTGAAGTTTGAAGGGATAATAATAATCATTTTCTATTCTTTTCAGGCATAAGCTATTCGGAAATTGCATTACATTGTGCAATAATGTTCGTAAAAATTATACCGGTATTGATGATATATATATATATATATATATATATTATATATATGTCTCTTATTCTATATCTCTGAGCCTCGATATATTTTTTTGTTTCTAAAAATCACAGCCTGTACCTCTTGACGAAGTTACGATTCACTATCTCTCTACAAAGTTGTAAATCCCTCTCTCAGGCTCTTTTATCCATCTAGAGCTCTGTGGTTGCTGTTTTTTCTTTCTTTTTCCTGTTTGTACTCGCCCAGTATACCGCCCGGTGAGTTTACCCCCCCCCCCCCCCCCCCCCAAGTTCTAAGGATAAATGGATTTTTACTCTGAAAGAACCGGCTTTGTTGTGTTCAAAGTAGATCACCGCTAGCAATACATATTTGATCCGATTTCCGACCGCAGAGACCATGTGTCTCACTTTTTGGCTGCAGATACCATGTTTCTCACCTTATGACCGCAGATACCATGTGTCTCATCTTATGCCCACAGAGACAATGTGTCTCATCTTATGCCCACAGAGACAATGTGTCTCACCTTATGCCCACAGAGACAATGTGTCTCACCTTATGCCCACAGAGACAATGTGTCTCACCTTATGCCCACAGAGACAATGTGTCTCATCTTATGCCCACAGAGACAATGTGTCTTATCTTATGCCCACAGAGACAATGTTCTCACCTTATGCCCACAGAGGCAATGTTTCTCACCTTCAGGTGAGAGAAGACATTTTTACTTTATATTTTATGTTCAATCCATAATTTTTTGTCTAGCTTTGTGCTTGAGACAATGGTTGTATAGAAACTGTTTGCTTACAAAAATGATGAGATATTTCTCATGTTATGTCCCTGAAGGCAAAAAGACTTAGTGCTACTTTATGCCCCTGCGGCCAAATGTTTTATATTAATTTATGCCCCCATAGACAAAATGTATGTCTATTACTATATATCCGAAGGAAAATATTTTATATTGATTTCCGAATATTCATGACTTTATGTGTTGGGGACAATACTTTTTTGTTTGTTTCATTCCTTGGAGGAAAAAAATCTTAGTTCAAAAAAAAATTCAAGACTTTTTTCCTCAGTTTATGCCCGAGAAAAGAATTCTCAGAATTTATTCCCACTGTGATATAAAAAAAAATCTTTTATTTCAGTCCCCAAAGAAATAATGTTTACTTAATTTACCGAGTGAGGCACAATGTTTCCACTCAATTTACTCCTAAGAAAAAATTTAAATGTTTTGTTAGTAAGCACAAAATGTTTTATCTCACTAAATATTCATAGACAGAACATTTTCTCTCTCTTTTTAAAACTTGAAGGAAATGTTTGCTCCCACTTTATTCCCCCGATATAATATTTTCTCTCACTTTATTCCCCCGATATAATATTTTTTCTCACTTTATTTCCCGGATATAATACTTTCTCTCACTTTATTCCCCCGGATATATTTTCTCTCGCTTTATTCCTGCGGAAATAATATTTTCTCTCACTTTATTCCCCCGGATGTAATATTTTATCTCATTTCATTCCCCGGATACAATATTTTCTCTCACTTTACTCCCCCGGATATATTTTCTCTCGCTTTATTCCTGCGGAAATAATATTTTCTCTCACTTTATTCCCCCGGATATAATATTTTCTCTCACTTTATTCCAGATTCCCACTGCGGGGGGAGGGGGGGGGCAGGAGGCCTGCTAGGCTTAGAGTGGGCCCCATAGACTAAGGGCGGTGAACCCATGGCAGTCGTGCCAAGATTGGCACGCCATCAACCTTTCCTGGCACTCAGTACTGCCCTTTAAACCTCCACCTATAATAAATAAATGTGTAAAGATTATCCTTTAACATGTGAACAACTGGATAACTTGGTAACGTTGCCTGAACGTGCCCCAGCGGCTGAAATATGACCGGTTGTACTAGACGAACTGACTATTCGACACCATGACCTTTCAAAATAGTTGCTGTGAGAAATGACAGCCATTCTACCAGTTAGCCAACCAACCATCCTACTAGTTAGCCAACCAACCATCCTATCAGCCAGCCAGCTATCCTACCAGCTAGCCAACCACCCTACCAACTAGCCTTAGAGGAGGAGGATTGATAAAGACTCACGTCTTGTAAATTTGTAAATGTGTTGATAAAATATGTTGGACAGACACTGACAGACTTTTTATTGCACTGTACACGTGGAGGAGCTGTGTGTGTGTGTGTGTGTGTGTGTGTGTGTGTGTGTGTGTGTGTGTGTGTGTGTGTGTGTGTGTGTGTGTGTGTGTGTGCAGAATCTAGCCATAAAAGGAACTTGAAATGGTGAAAAATTGTAACCAAGAGTTAATTGTATTTATACGGGTGCTTTAAACAAAAAAAAAAAAAAAAAATTCAGAATTAACTAAGCGAGATGAATTAGGTGTACACAGGACTACTTGTACTCACCTAATTGTACTCACCTAATTGTGCTTGCGGGGGTTGAGCTTTGGCTCTTTGGTCCCGCCTCTCAACTGTCAATCAACTGGATTGTGTATCAACTGTGTAGCAACAATCAATTGTGTACAACAGTGCTCGTTGAATTAGTAGAGGTTCTGTATATATACGATTTGTTGTGTTGGGTGAAATTCGTCTGTTTTTGACGAATTACAATTTTTCCTGCTAAGTTTATCTGATGTTATCTGGATTTGTAGGATGATGTTTTTCACAGACGTATCACATTTAGGAGATTTGATAACATAAAAGCTTTTGAAATCACACTGAAAATTGTTAAACCTGATGTTGACAATGGCATTTTTATACATTTATCCAATCTTAAAAAAAAAGTCTTATCTTGAAATTCATAAGAAAAGATATATTAAGAGTTCAAATGCAATTTTCGAGCATCATCGATTCAACTGTTTATAAAGTTTCTTTAAGATTTACTAAATTCAAGTCACTTGAAAAACTGTAAAATTAAAGTGTAAAGTGTAACATTAGACAAACTGAATTAAGAAATGTTGCATTTGGATAATTTTGAGATGAAATTGAATAATTAACTAAGCCCCTAAGTTTGGAAGGAATAATATGTCGTTTTAAGACCTGAAGTGGATAATATTGAAAGAGATCGTTTAATAGCTGGATTAACGCCTAATATTTTTTTTATCTTTATTTAAGAAAATACAATATAAATCATATATACATAAGTTTTACAAGGCAATTATACATTACAATTCTTAGTGAACAAGTGTTTCAGTAGTACAGAACATGATCTTTAAAAACCCCTGAATGTTATACTTAGAAAATGGGGGTGTTGAAACTCGAATTCCATTTGTGAAACTTTTACGATTGAAAATCTTGCAATATTATTTCACACATTATTTTTTCCAACTTTATAATTTTCCATTGTTGTTTTTTAATTAAACGAAAAAAGAAAAAAACAATAAAAACAACATTAATAACCAGTAACAACAACAACAACAACACCACGGGAACCAATGACCTCCAAAAACAAGGCAGCAAAATAGAAGGAAAATAGTGTTACTGAAACCAATTTCTGTCTACACTCTCGTCTGTCGTTCCAACTTGGAACTCTTTCCACATTTCCACAGGAGGCAAATTGAACACATTCTGTTTCAGGTTCCTTTTCTTCAATTGCAGCTCTTAGTGATTCCATTGTCCGCAATACCCGCTGGCTTAGGCCCTTCCCTCAGGCTCATCCTGGAGGAATTGTTCCACAGGCGGATGGGGTTAGCGAAGGGACGCGGGGGACCAGACGCTTGCATACACATGCAGGGAGAGAACTTTCATCCACTGCACTCTGGCTTCATCCCACAGGCTCTGGCTTCACCTCCACAGGCTCTGACTTCACCCCACAGGCTCTGGCTTCATCGTACAGGCTCTGGCTTCACCCCACAGGCTCTGGCTTCACCCCACAGGCTCTGGCTTCATCCCACAGGCTCTGGCTTCATCCCACAGGCTCTGGCTTCACCCCACAGGCTCTGGCTTCAACCCACAAGCTCTGCCTTTACCCCCACAGGCTCTGGCTTCACCCCACAGGCTCTGGCTTCACCCCACAGGCTCTGGCTTCACCCCACACGCTCTGGCTTCACCCCCACAGGTGCTGGCTTCACCCCACAGGCTCTGGCTTCACCCCACAGACTCTGGCTTCACCCCACAGGCTCTGGCTTCACCCCGCAGGCTGTCCTTCGTCTTCGAGGCTGGCCCGAAGATACTGGGCCTCAACACTGCAGGTCAACATATTCACTATACACGATAGACGGCAACATCACCATCACATACCATGTTGCTTCGCGCGAAGCCATCACAAGCATGCGGTGAGCGCAGACATAATATTATCTGCAATACTGTCTCTTCAGTACCCTCAATCATCGTAACTTATCATATCTTTAACCAATTTCATTCATTTTTTTCTGAAAAAACTTGAACTTGATCCAGAAAATTTCTTTTCCTCTTCTCCCCAACGTGCAACCACTCTTCATCCATTTTCAACACACCTCTTCACCAACATTCAACACCCCCCCCTCACCAACATTCAACACCCCCCCCCTCACCAACGTTCAACACCCCCCCTCCCTCACCAACATTCAACACCCCCCCCCTTCACCAACATTCAACACCTCCCCCCCCCCCTCACCAACGTTCAACACCCCCCTCCCTCACCAACATTCAACACCCCCCCCCTTCACCAACATTCAACACCCCCTCACCAACATTCAACACCCCCCTCCCTCACCAACATTCAACACCCCCCCCCCCTTCACCAACATTCAACACCCCCCCCCCTCACCAACGTTCAACACCCCCCTCCCTCACCAACGTTCAACACCCCCCTCCCTCACCAACATTCAACACCCCCCCCTTCACCAACATTCAACACCCCCCTCACCAACATTCAACACCCCCCCTCACCAACGTTCAACACCCCCCTCCCTCACCAACATTCAACACCCCCCCGTCACCAACATTCAACACCCCCCCTCACCAACGTTCAACACCCCCCTCCCTCACCAACATTCACACACCCCCCCCCCTTCACCAACATTCAACACCCCTCTCCTCAGAACCTCACCTAAATTCTTGGTCAACACTCATAATGTTCCCCGACACCTAAATATCAACAAAGCCCCCCTGGCTCACAGGGTATTCCATTAGCTCTACAATCGTGCGCCTCACAACTGCCCGCAGCTCCTCCCAACAGTTTACCTTTCAATGGATTTCAGTTTATATATTTTATATATTAAAATGGTTTATAATATATATTATATAACTCACCTCCCAGGGTGGAGGGAGGAGAGTGGGATAAGACACCTCCCACCCACTTCTTCCGAGGAACTCTGATGTATTTAATCTTTTATTTGCAATTGGTTACAAAAGGTTGTACTGAGAGAGAGAGAAAGTGTCTTTAGTAACAAGTAAACTCTAACAAATACTTACAAGTAAACACCATCCTTGCTCAACATTCTCCCCCCCCCCCCCTGGTGGTTTAGACTACTTATCACCCCCATATATTGCTCGTGCATCCTCCCCCCCCCCCCCTTGCTATATGTTCGCATTCATTCCCATTATTCATCACTCATAAGCTAATTTTAGGCATTTAATGATTATAAAATTCCTAAGCAGCATTTAATCCCTTATGCATGATAGTCTTCAGAATCCCTTTGTCTCCAGTAGAGTGTCTTATCTAGTTTCCTTTAGCTTCCTTGTTAATTCGGAAGCTCTTTGTGCTTTGCGCTCCGACTTGGATTTACACATTTGTAAACATGCCCAAATTATTTCCAGAAAAACAGTTTATCATTTCCGTCTTCCTCTGTGAGGCTGCACACCTCGTACTCAAATTTGCACAAAAGTTTGCACACGAATTGAAGGAGCGACAATGAATGACACTTACACTAGGCTGCTTGTTTATGGAAAGCCAATTAAGGTACAGTTCTACCCGTCCTCGACTCAAATCCATTACATCCAGCGGTCGACCCCACAGACGCATTCGTATATTTGTACATGCTGTTCATTCAAAATCGGAATTTTCTCAAA